TTCAGTGTTGGCCAAGGGAAAACCCAAGATACTTGCTCTGAAATAGTCATTTTGTTTTTCTCAAAGTACTGTTAGTTACAATAACATAAAAAAAACCTTCATCTGGGTCAGGTCAGTTTTAGAGCTTACTGTTCTATTCCTGAAATATTTGTTGGTATAGCATGGAATTTATATTCTGTGAGGCCAGCTCCAACAGCATGGGGACATAGTATGGAAAAATATTGATAATTGTTAGATCCGAGGAACATATACGTGGGAATCTTTATTCCGTTTTCTATAGGTTTGTTAGCAATATCTAGAAAATATTCACAAGGCAAAATTAAATTTTATTTCATGACTAGATGACCCTACCATCTGCTAATCTCTTTCCCTCTTGAACCTACTTATATTTCCAGCATTTAAGTATCAATTGTGCAGAAGAACACATACTTTTATTCTTCTCCAAATGAGCTCTTTCAGTTTTAAGGGTGTTTTAAGTTACGGTTTTCTGGGATTTGGCAAACAAGTCTTTGTTCACCTGACTCATACCCTCCATATTTTTACAGACACTTTGTTGTATCCCTTCTTAGTGGTAGTCGTTCTGCTGGAGAAATCGTAATTCTTTTAATCTCTCTCTGCTCATTGAAGCTGCCCCTCTCTGGACCTGTCTCAGCTCTGCTTTGACTTTCTTGAGCTGTGGTGACCAGAACTTATCCACCCAGGTTACACACAAGCATAAATGACAACCAAAACCAGAATTCAACGAAGGGACTTCTCGAAGCAAAAATAAACGTGGAAGTTAGCATTAAGAGAGCATATAGAGAAGTCAGCATAGTGTTCAAAATAAAATTATGTTAGAAAAGATGAAAATTAGCCTCACTGTAACAGTTGGCAGAGTCGGAAATGGAAGAAAAATGAGTTTTTAAAAAAGTTGATTCCATTACTTTTAAGTTCCAAACCTGCAAGTTTTTGCTGCCATCACACATAGAATGAAATCAAAATCACCACCGTGGCCGGTGATCTGGCCTCTCTCGGTCTCTCCGAATCCACCTGCACTGGCTCCCACCTTGCCCACTGGGATCCAGCCACACTGGCCTTCTTGCTGCGCGTGGAGCACACCATAACCCGCTGTGAGGCCAGGGCCTTCATCCTTGCAGTTCCCTCTGGCTGGACTGTTTCCCCCCAGAGCCCACATACACATCTCACTTCTGCACATCGTTCAGGACTCTGATCAAATGCCACTTCTTCAGAGAGGCCTGCCCTGGCCAGCCATAGTCTCTCCTCCATTGTTCTCCATCCTTGTACCTGCTCTACCGTTCCCATTCTCTAAACATATAGTATGTAGCTGTTTACCTTTTTGTTCCCAGTGTCCCCCATTAGAGCGTAAGCTCTGTGAGGGTGAAGACTTTGAATTGGTAACTGCTGCATCTTCCTCACACTTAGATTCGTGCCTGACACGGGTGGGTTGTATGAATGAATAAATGAATGAACGAATAGACGCACGCACACCAATTAAGAGTGGAAGTTCTAGAACCAGATTCTGGGTTTGAATTTCACTATGTGTCCTTTGGTACGTTATTTAACTTCTCTGTATACAGTTTCCTTATTTAAAATAGAAGCATAATAACAGTACCCACTCATAGGTTTATCTTGGAAGATAAATGAGTTAACACAGATAAAGTGCTTAGAACAGTATTAATAACAAGAGTCAGTACTCCACAAATATTAGGATGATCATGAAAAAGGGCAAGAAGGGAAGAAGAGAAGCAATCGTGGCAGCCCTTCTTGGGTAGCGGGAATTTTCTATTGAAAGATTAAGGGGGGCGTGGCGCTCCAGTACGTCTCACCTTTGTAATGCTGGGTGGCCAAGGACACAGAATCAATTACAAGGACAACTTCTTGTTGGGGCGAGGGTGGGGTGGTGGAATTTTGTCTGAGGGCTTTTTTTTTTTTTAACATTTAAGAGACATAAAATCACAACTGCGATACCTTCCATTTCTCAAAGTGGCACATTTGCATAGACTATATATTTAAAGTTTAATACTTGCTTGTGGAACATTCTTTTTAAAGCTTCTGGGTCTGGTATGAGTAAGAGTGTAACACCATTCACACTTTCAAGGTACTACAAGGCAAAAAGGAAAATTGTGACATTGCTGGTTAGTCACAGCCACAAGTTCATATTTCCCAAAGGTTATTTTACTCTCCAGAAACAGAGAAAAAGGAAATTCCTTCAAAAATATGTACATGTCGGGTTTCCCTGGTGGCGCAATGGTTGAGAGTCCGCCTGCCGATGCAGGGGACACGGGTTCGTGCCCCGGTCCGGGAAGATCCCACATGCCGCGGAGCGGCTGGGCCCGTGAGCCATGGCCGCTGAGCCTGCGCGTCCGGAGCCTGTGCTCCGCAATGGGAGAGGCCACAACAGTGAGAGGCCCGCATACCGCAAAAAAAAAAGTATATGTCATTACATATGCTTATTATTGATTTTGAGAGTATATGATCAGTAATTGCCACAATTATCTGAAAGTTTTAGCTTTGGGCAAGTAAGGGTAAGGTCTTTTTTTCAGAAGTTGACCAGTGCAAAGATATCCTATTTGTTAATGCAAGACCAATTTAGTAAGTGCAAGCTGAGTGGAAAAATGCAATCCACCTAAGAATTAGGTTTCTGGTCTTTAGTCAGAGCAACAGGTGTTGATAATAAGCGAAGAGTTGTCAGGCAAAATGAGGGCTGACAGGTTCTTGACACATAGTTTGGAAAGTACCAAAAAACCCCCTCTGTCCAGGTCAAGTGGCAGCTGCATGGACGCTGTGGTTTGTTACTTCTGGCCTGAGCCCACCATTTCCTGTACTTGACATTGAACATAAGAATTATTCCAAGGGTTGAAAAAGTCTTTTTCTGAAACGTAGTTACCTCGGTAGTCAACCGTCATGAATAAGAACACTTCCAGGACACTTTTAAAAAACAATAGCGGCAGAAGATCAGTAGGAACCATGTAAATTATACCAGGGTTAGTTAGATAACTCTTTATGTGTCCTCTACAGGAAGCCCCAAGCGAGGAATTGTGGCCTGTGAACTTCTGTACAGCTTGAGGACAGAGTATAATTTTCCCCTCTAATTATAGTAATTTAGTATATTATTGGTTATCATTTCCTTTCCCCCCCTTTGGTTACCAGAAAGCTTACTTGTGGTTCAACTTTAGCAAGTACACAGGACCTTATGATCTGCTTACTCATGATTCTTTTTACTCCTCTGGTTTTGTTTCTGCTTTCATTAATTTTTTTTAACTGAGTTTTAAAGTTCTTAAGAAATATTTTACTATTATTTTATCATATGTGGTGGTGTAAGCTGCTTCATCAAATCCTTCATGAGATAAGATGGTTTTAATGAAATTGATTAAGTTAGGTAGTTTTCATAAATATAATTCTAACAACCTGGAGAAGTAGACATTATTATCATGCACGTTTTACAGTTAGGAAAATTGCGATTCAAAGACGTAAAAAACTTGCCCAAGATCCAAATACCACGTAGTTTTCACTGTACTATGTTGTACTATCTCATTTCTCTAATAACAACAACAACAAAAATACTTTCTACTGGTTTAAGTATCTTCAGGTAAGAGTAATTACTAAATTGACAATGGTATGAATGAGCTAAAATAAAGTACATTTAAATTACAAAAGAAAAAAGTTAAGCTAGCAGGTAACCTTACCAATAATTATATGTAATTGTGAAATATTAGGCAGTTAGAGGAAGATGAAGAATTTTCTTTGATGAATTTTCTTATTCTATCACTTTTCTTTTAAAGAAAAAGATATGAGAAGGACAAAATTTAGATAAAAGTTCTACGTGAAAGTAGAAGAATGGATTAGTTGATCTATATGAGATAAAATGCTCTGTGAACATCTGTACCAGCCCTTCCTAAGGACTCATTACAGCCCACCAGTGTAAGGAGATGGACGGGCTTTGATCCCCTTTCGAAGGTCACCACTCTGGCCCTAATCCCAGTATGCTGACACCCTGCTGGGCTCAGTCCTGCCGTTAAGTGTCTTTCCTGGGCAATAAAGTCTGTGAAAACAGCACCAGCATGGGCTTGGAACACACGTGACAGAAAAATTCAAAGTACATATGAGCCAGGATCATTGCCAACTTCATTTTCCAGCCCTTTGTGTAGAGCATAGGAGCCTTCCCTCTTTACGTGAACCAGGAAAGCAGCAGCATCTTGCCTGGCGGCACTAACCAGCTGTGCCTCACTGATGGGACTGTAGGAAAAAAACCCACGAAATAAAAGAGAGAAGGACCCTCTTCAGATCCAGATATGATCAGGACACAATTCATTAAGCAGCACCGCTTATTTAAGATGTTATTCTATCATGTCCGTCCACCTGCAATTTCAGCAAGAGGTGCAACATTTCTACACAATTGTTTGCTTTAAGTACTGAGTTAAAAATGACCAAAGCAAAATTGCCAATGACAGGTTTTACTCTGATGTTAGATTCAAGACCAGAGTTTGCGGAGACTACACTTCCCTTACTCAAGGCGAAAGCACGTTGTTCTGAATAATTTTCCCTAAGGATTTTCAGGCTGTGCTTTTGCAGATTTTCAATGTTTCTTATTTCTGTATACCTGGACCTGGTAAATGAGAAATCATGCAGGAGAAGCAGGCACATCTGTTGTGTGCCCAACATGCATCGAACATGCAGCAAGTACATTTCACTGAGATGACGGCGCTAGCAAGTTGCTGGGCAGGGATTTGAACTCCAGGCTGCCTGATTCCAAGAGCTGTGCTCTTGCTCATACACTGCAGTTTCCAGGCTTCCTGCAGCCACAAAGAAGGTACGAGTGTATGCTAGTTCTAAGCACTCTAGAGGTTATGCAAATGTTATCGACACCCTGAATGCCTGCGTATTTTATAGTCATCTGATTTATTTTATCTGCGGGGCCAGCCCCCTTTAGAACGATCCTCCTGGCTATGGAACACAAGATCTTATATCGCTGTACTCTATGCATCGCTTCTTTGACTTGCCTGGTGTGAAGAGGGCTCCTTCGGATCCTCATCCGGGTCCACACCAACCCTGTTAAAGAGAACAGAGAACTGGTAAGGGCCTTGCTGCAGATGAGATGACACAGTCTCTTGGGTCAGATCACGTGAACCAAAGACAATATGAATCAGACGAAAGGTTTACCAGAAAACCCTCCTACCTCTCCCTGAATCGAAAGAACTTCAAATAGATTTATGGCAAGAGGAGAACTTGTACAGCTGGGCCTCTGCACAGCTGGTGAGATCGGGCATCCACAGCTGTTCCCTGCTGCTGTCTTTCCCAGCAAGAGCAGAAGCCTGAGAACCTGGGACAGGAGTGCTCAGGAAAAGACCTCCATGGCCCCCAAAACAGGGATCCTAGAAGGAAGGCCATCTGTTCTTCCTGCAGGACTCACTGACAAAACTGCTCTGGGAATGTGGTGGCCCAGGCTGCAGCAGGCTCCCCAGGACAGAAGAAAAACAGATCCTTTGTCCAGATGCTCATGGAGGCTGGCAGTAGGGAGGATCCAGGTTTGTGGGGCCTGAGACTTATACAATTTGGGGGGCTCTCTTTAAGCAAATTAATACAAAAATACAAATACAAAATTAGGGATGAAAGTGACTCTTTAAAGAGAAAATAAATTATAACACATTTTATAATTTTAAAATTGGCAAATGCAACAGACATCTCAACATCTATAAAATACATAATATTCGAATTAATTTACTGCCTGACATACCTCTAAAATAACCTTTTCCTCCTAAGTTTTGCCTGCATACTTTGTTACTCTCTTTATATGATATAATGATTTTGTATAAGACAGTATAGGAGGGGGCTTCCCTGGTGGCTCAGTGGTTGAGAGTCCGCCTGCCGATGAAGGGGACACGGGTTCGTGCCCCCGTCCGGGAAGATCCCACATGCCGCGGAGCGGCTGGGCCCGTGAGCCATGGCCGCTGAGCCTGCGCATCTGGAGCCTGTGCTCCGCAACGGGAGAGGCCACGGCGGTGAGAGGCCCGCGTACCGCAAAAAAAAAAAAAAAAATAGAGAGAGAATAGGAGGACAAGGTAGTCTCTCCTCTAGCAGAGTCATCACAATTATTAATAATTGGGAGGCATTAAAACATGGTTCCTTACAGACATGCTTGCTGTGTGCAGTACTGCTAAAGGTTTATACCCCGAAAAGACAAGATTTCTGATAAATTTCACTGCATGCAATTCTCGTCAACAATACCCAGTACGCTTATCAGTGTATACGCTGCATCACTGAATGTACGTATTCCTGAATTTCCGTTTTGACAGGGCCTCAATGAGAACAGAATCCTCCACTTTGAATTGTACACATCTTATGACTGGAAGAATTTTCCACAGACTAGCTTCTGGCTCAGTGCATTTGAAGCCTTGTTTTTCCTCCACTACCCCCAGACTTGTGAAGCCAGTCACCATAGGACATGTTCATCTTCCATCCAGCCTCGTGACACGCTTCCTGTAAGCCGGCGCTGCAGGAGGCTGGCCAGCAGTGACTTGCCCTTGCACAGAAGTGACTGCAGACCACACAGCCTCATCCCACTAAATACAATCTAAATGCGCTCCCAATTCAGCTTCCCCTTGGTCGGACCCCACGGCTGCCCAGGGCCACTCCAGAGCCATCTGACCAGGCGAGAAGCATGACGGAGGGGAAACTGTAGCACAAAGAAACAGTGATCAAACCCAACAGTGGTTAAAATATATTCCTTTTGCAAATCTTACGAAAACATAGGACCATGGGAACACAATGCTGGGGCTCTTCCCAGGGCCTTGGAAGGGCCGGAGCGTGTGAGGGCCTGGAGCTTGAACTTCCTCTGCTCTGGAGGGTGGGCCTCTGCCTGTGGTGGGCGGCACGGGGGTGCAGCTCAGGGCCTCAGCCACCTGGCTGGGGCTCCGCCAGAGCCTTTCCCGAAAACGTCACAATTTCTAGAGCTTTAGCGTCTTTCCTTCCACTCCGGCCCCTGTAAACACTTCTGCAGTGCCCTTGTTCTGGTCCCTGGATGTGGGGAGGGGAGGCAGGTTAGAAGCTACCAGGCCTGCAGATGTGTTAGCCTGTAAAAGGAAAGCCACTGGTGGAGAGGTGGTTTGTTTAAAATACCTCTGATTCTTCAAAAATTAGTGTCCTCTGGGCATGAATAGCCCCTTTTCTCTAACCCAGAGGGTGAAATGGGCAGCTATTTATTGTGTGCTGAACCTTTTGGCCTTCAGGTAACTAGAAAGGGCCTCTGCTGGGGACTAACCTTTGATTTTCTTAGAGTAGAAAGAACTATTTGATCTATTTCGTTGAAGTTGGAGGGAGAGAAGGACAGGACGAGGAGGGGGGGGAAAGGGGGTCAGGAAGGAGAAAGGAGGAGGGGGAAGGAAAGAGAAGAGAGAAGGGAGGGAGGGGGCAGTGTAGGGATGGGGGGAGGAAGGAGGGGCAGCAGGGAGAGGACTGGGAGAGTTGAAGGGGGGGAGGGGGGGAGGATAGACAAGAAGAGAGGGGGAGGGAAAGGAGGAAAGGGTTGGGGAGAGAGAATGGAGGGGAGTTAAGGCCCAGCCTCTGAAGGTGGGTCTAGACAGTGACCTTGGGGTATGGGTGGCCTGAGTCCAACCTCTATGAATAGTGGGGTCCCAGTTGGAGGCACCCTGGCCCCCTTTCTCGTGGGGCTGGGCCACCTTCAAGCCTCTGGTGGATCTGAGCTCTCTGGCGGATGCTGGGAGCCCCTAGGAGCCTTTATTATTGAGCCCTAACCCCTTTCCCAACACCAGAAGCTACAGGCACCCATGCAGGCTGTGAATTGAACTGAGGGTCCTGAAGTTCCCACTGCTGCATTTGCTTAGGTCCTTTTTTTTTTTTTTTTTTTCCCAAGTCCTCTGTCTAGAAAACTAGAGAGAACAGAAATCAAATTTCACAAGAAACCCAACATTTAAAGTTTGAGGCAGCACTGAGGCCTTTCTCCCCAGCAGCAGTCATAGCAGACATTTCTAGTTTCAATTATTCTAGAAGCCAGATGGAGCGGAGGAACGGTAGCAGTGGATTAAGTGCTTCAGTTTTATGTGGGACTCGGTGAAAAGCATCTCAGGGGCCCAAGAGATCGGCTGTTTTCCTCGGAGCAAGAATACATCTCCTCCCTCCTGCCGTTTCAGGGAAGCTCAGGGTCTGCTCCTGGGGCCAGGCCTGCAGCCCTCTTGCCTAGAGCAGACTAAACATCTCAAGAGGCTTGAAGAAAGAGAGACTGCATATGAGTTATTCCCTCCTGGGGCAGCGGTGGGGAACAAAGCAGATATGGTCCCTGCCCTCACAGGGCATAACGGTTAGGTACGTTTAATTAGAAAAATCTGAAAAGTTTCTTATAATTGTTTTGGTTTTATTTTTAAATTAATTTTTATTGGAGTATAGTTGCTTTACAATGTTGTGTTAGTTTCTACTGTACAGCAAAGTGAATCAGCCATACATATACATATATCCCCTCCCTTTTGGATTTCCTTCCAAGTCACCAAAGTGCATTAAGTAGAGTTCCCTGTGCTGTACAGTAGGTTCTCATTAGATCTCTACTTTATACATAGTATCAATAGTGTATATGTGTCAATCCCAATCTCCCAATTCCTCCCACCCCCCCTTCCTCCCTTAACCCCTTGGTATCCATACATTTGTTCTCTATGCTATAATAATTGAGGTGCTATGAAGGAAAGGCACCTAAGAATGACACCTTCTTTCTCTTATGATTTTGCCTGCTTTTCATAGCAATCTTGCTAAAATATATTACCTGGCCCCCTGCTTCCTTAAACAGAGTGTGATGGGGCTACTCGGAACTTTACTGGAGGTTTCAGTATCGCCACTGGCCCCATAAAATCTAACACTCACTTGTTATAATGATTTCCAAGAGGTATGTGAACCTCTTTATGCCCATATTAAATGCTCCCTGGCTACTATTCTTTTTCTTTTTGAAATTCTTGTATCTGCCATTTAGATTGCCTTGATTTTCTACCTGCAACAATATGTTAGAATATTGTCTCTATGCTTGCCCCCTACTTGTTTTTTTTTTTTTAGCATCTTTATTTGAGTATAATTGCTTTACAATAGTGTGTTAGTTTCTGCTGTATAACAAAGTGAATCAGTTATACATATACATATGTTCCCATATCCCTTCCCTCTTGCGTCTCCCTCCTTCCCACCCTCCCTATCCCACCCCTCTAGGTGGTCACAAAGCACCGAGCTGATCTCCCTGTGCTATGTGGCTGCTTCCCACTAGCTATCTATTTTATATTTGGTAGTGTATATATGTCCATGCCACTCTCTCACTTTGTCACAGCTTACCCTTCCCCCTCCTCGTGTCCTCAGGTCCATTCTTATGTCTGTGTCTTTATTTCTGTCCTGCCCCTAGGTTCTTCAGAACCATTTTTTTTTTTTTAAGATTCCATATATATGTGTTAGCATACGGTATTTGTTTTTCTCTTTCTGACCTACTTCACTCTGTATGACAGACTCTAGGTCCATTCACCTCACTGCAAATAACTCAATTTCATTTCTTTTTATGGCTGAGTAATATTCCATTGTATATATGTGCCACATCTTCTTTATCCATTCATCTGTTGATGGACACTTATGTTGCTTCCATGTCCTGGCTATTGTAAATAGAGCTGCAATGAATGTTGTGGTACATGACTTTTTTTTTTTTTTTTTTTTGCGGTACGCGGGCCTCTCACTGTTGTGGCCTCTCCTGTTGCGGAGCAGAGGCTCCAGACGCGCAGGCTCAGCAGCCACGGCTCATGGGCCCAGCCGCTCCGCGGCATGTGGGATCTTCCTGGACCGGGGCATGAACCTGTGTCCCCTGCATTGGCAGGCGGACTCTTAATCACTGCGCCACCAGGGAAGCCCCATGATTCTTTTTGAATTATGGTTTTCTCAGGGAATATGCCTGAGATATTGGGATTGCTGGGTCGTATGGTAGTTCTATTTTTAGTTTTTCAAGGAACCTCCATACTGTTCTCCATAGTGGCTGTATCAATTTACATTCCCACCAACAGTGCAAGAGGGTTCCCTTTTCT